AAAAAAAAAAAAAAAGAAAAAGAAAACTGAGAATTACCTTTTAGTCAAGAAGTATTTCAAACTTGCAGAAAGTTACAGAAAGAGGAGAGAAAAGACAATTTCTATACCCACCATCTATACTTACTAAATGTCCATATTTTGGAAGTTCAACTTCCAAGTAGAAAGAAGTAGAAGGTGTGTTTAGTGAGGAACTTCTTGGCTTGGACTCACTGTGTACTTGTGGCCCCTCGGTCACCAGAAATCATATAAGGAAAGCTGGCTGATTCCTCAGATATGGAAGGGGAGGGGGAGAGCTTTGATAATGGAAATAGAACCACAGGAAAGTAATATTCTTGGACTCCTTCATTGTAAATGTCCTATTTGATCATTTGTGAAGCATGCTCTATGTTATCTTATTCTCAGATAAGAATTTGCTTATAAACATCTCCAAATGTGGGGTAGTAGAGAGCTGTCTTCAACAGAAAGAGACTGTGAAAGGCACAGCACTAGTGGTATACAGTGTGTGGGTGGGAGCCTGTGGACCTCAAAGCTACTGAGTGTTCCCTCACCAGCTGTACTGAAGTTACTCTGTGGGTGTATGACTTTCTTAATACCTTTTTTTTTCTTTTATAAAAGAAAGAGGTGTTTATGGTAAACAATAAAATCCATATAAGAAAAGAATCACCTATAACCCTGCATTTAATGTTCTGTTCCATGTACTTTTATTTGTAAGCCTGTACATAGTTTTGTTTTTTATTGTGTATTTCACACCATGCCTGGATTCCATGTGGGTATTAGAGATCTAACTCAGGTCCTGTGTTAGCAAGCACTCCACCCATTTTATCCATCGTCCAAGCCCCTGTATCGTATTTTTATTTCCTGACACACTGAGAACAGGTGTTCCATGCCTTACCTGTTTTAATTTTTATTTCTAGTGGTACACATTGCTGTACAGATTTCACTATGTAATTGTACCATCTTTTCTTTATCTCAGCTCCTATATTGGACTTGGAGTTTTTTGCTTGCTGATTTTGTTTTTATTTGTTGTATGTTGAACATTCTTAGAGGTAATCACCTCAACATCTATAATTTTAGTATAGATTATTAAAAATGGGAAAGTCCATAGATATATAAAAGATAAATTTTCATGGTGAATATTACCAAATTTCCCTTCCAAAAATTGAACTGATGTCCTCCCACATTGATCCCCCCCCTTCTGTTGTGTTTTCAAAGAGAATCCTTACACAAAATTCACATGAAAATTCAGAATGATTGTGTCGTATTCAAGATAGTATGATTTATTTCCTCAGGGTCACAGGATGCTGCTCATGATCTGGAGCTACTGAGAAAGCACAAGGTAAATGAATTAAATGGACGTTTCAAGTCTGGCACTACATACAGCAATGTCCATTCTCCCGTTACATGGGAAAGACTGTGTTGCTCCAACCTCATTCAGTTTAATCTGTATCACTTGGGCTATCATTTTAATAGCATTGCCAAAATCATTGTACCTGCTTTAAATATACAGCTTTGTACTCCAACTTTCTAGTTTCATGTCCTTCTCAGATTCCTTCACACAACGATCGTGAACTTACCCTGAAAGTGTTGCTCGAATGTTAAATGGTCTTATTAGAAAACAAAAAACCAAAAAAACCTAGAGCCTGATATTGGGATGAATGCTGAGACATCAGAGAGACAAAGGAACAAACCACCTCTTATCTCTAGGACTCCTTAGCCTGAACAGCTTTGCTCAACTGAAAGACTTTAGTTCCTGTCTCCTCATGCCTTGTATACCTTTCTCCACCCACCCATATCATTTCTTGTCTCAACTTTCCTAGTTCCGGGTATTAAAGGCGTGTGACTTCCAAGTATTGGGATTAAAGGTGTGTGCCACCACTGCTTGGCTCTGTTTCTCCTCTAGACTGAGTCAATCTCAAGTAGTCCAGGGTGACTTTGAACTCACAGAGATCCAGATAGATCTCTGCCTCCCAGGTGCTAGGATTAAAGGTGTGTGCCACCACTGCCTGGTTTCTATGTTTAATCTGGTGGCTTGTTCTGTTCTCTGATCTTCAGGCAAATTTATTAGGGTATATAATATATCACAGCATTTCTCCTTTTTTTTTAATCTAGAATAATAGGTTATAACTAATATAAGAAAAAGTATATAAAATAAGTACAACAATAATAATAATAAATACAATATATACAGTCAAGAATTACATTAGCAATGTCTAGTCTGTAAACATTTGACAAATACAGAGAGAATACTCCATGATCTATCCTATTTTGGTGAGTCTAAAATGTTGTACCTAATTCACTTCTCTCCTAATTTATATTAACAACTGAATACTATCTTTTGATGTCTTTCAAATTTATACACTTTGCACCTCTTTAGTGAGTTTCTTTTCTGAATTTGTTAACAAGGAAAACTATAACTATCTAGTCTTAAACTCCCTCAGAGACCCAAAAAAGAAATAATATTACCTAAATAAGCAGGAAGTGCAAACAAGTGACTTCCAAAAAATGTGAGAAATGACAGAAACAGCTGGCTACCTGAACAGTCACCCAAGGTTCCTCTGCAACATTGGGATATCCATCTTTGGCCTACAAGCCTAGCTTATCTGACAGATTCATCTGTGAAGCAGGATTTTCTAAAGGGCCTTCCTACCTTGTCTTGGCAAGGTTCAGCAGTCCCTTTTTGTGTTCTGCTTGTCCATTTGGACAGCATACTGTCAGCAGTTGATACAAGGGTACTTTCTTGCCCAGGGGCTAACTTTTGCCACAAATAAAGTAAACTCCATATGGAGTTTCTTTGATGCCCATCATCTTCTCTGAAGTAGATTGGTGCTGCCAGGAGCAGACATGTCTCACTGTCATAAAAAAAAAAAAAGAATCTATGTTATTAAAACATTTGAAATACCATATTCTGTAGATCTCTGAAGTGTTTGAAGACCACCTGCCTATCATATATAATATATATATATATATATATATATATATATATATATTTGACCTTGAAAACATACCTAATCTGACTACAAGTTCGATTGTAATAACTAACTACTAACTTTCATTTCTTTATATCCAAATTAGTTGGTAATAACTTTTAAGGACTAGAAATTTGCATTACATTGTTAAATGAGCTGTATAGGTACAATGTCTTGAACAAGATTAGAAATGTATGTACAGTATGTTGTAACAAAAATAATCTCTAGCCGGGCGGTGGTGGCGCACGCCTTTAATCCCAGCACTTGGGAGGCAGAGCCAGGTGGATCTCTGTGAGTTCGAGGCCAGCCTGGGCTACCAAGTGAGTTCCAGGAAAGGCGCAAAGCTACACAGAGAAACCCTGTCTCGAAAAACAAAAAACAAAAAACAAAAAACAAAAAAAAACAAAAATAATCTCTAATTTGTATCAATATACAAAATTTGTATGCAATATACAAAAATCCAATCCAATGCAAAATATTTAAAACTAACAGTTGCTTTTTAAAAGTAGATTCAATAATCTACCTTTTTATCTTATCATATCCACATTCTCTTTTTTTCTTTTCAGAGTAGATTCAATAATCTACCCTTTTATCTTAGCATTTCTATTTTTTTTTTTTGGTTTTTTTTGTTTTTTGTTTTTGTTTTTCGAGACAGGGTTTCTCTGTGTAGCTTTGTGCCTTACCTGGAACTCGCTTTGGAGACCAGGCTGGCCTCGAACTCACAGAGATCCACCTGCCTCTGCCTCCCGAGTGCTGGGATTAAAGGCGTGCGCCACCACTGCCTGGCAGCATTTCTATTTTTTCAGAGTAGATTCAATAATCTACCTCTTATCTATATCTTCTTTTTTTTTTTTTAGAAAGAGATTAACTATTACCAATAACAATTTTTAACCAACCCCTAAACAAAGACAAACATCATAATCCATTTATTTGGGAATGTGGGTGTAGTATTCTAGGCTAGTTCCTGCTGATTGGGTGTGCTGGTAGTCTTATGGGAACACAAAGAAAATTTAAGATTATGGTCAAGTCCTCATTGGAGTAGTCTATGAGGCTGTATCATCTCAGCTAGCCATCTCGATATTGTCTTAAGCAGTTTGTAGTCAAAAACCTGTCTTTTGGTGGTAGTTGTTAGCTTGATGGCATTATCATAGTCCATGTGGAATCGTCATTGTGGACTCCCATCATCTTTTTGGAGACTTCAAAAGTCGCTGTTAGGCATAGTCGTGGTTCACTGCAGAAAAATCTTTTTCATGGAGCATTTTTTTTTCTGCATGATTTGTCTTTTTTCTTTTGGATTTCTCATTTGTCCAGTGTTCTTCAGATTCCTTAGCTGGATCCCTTCATTTTCCTGAAAAACAAAAACAAAACCCTTCACCAACCCTAACTTTCGAGGGGTTCCCTTTTGGCAAGTTATATCTGATCAAATGAAAAGCATGTGTTAGTGGTATAAGTTAGTTTAAATTGAGTGGTCATTCTGGTTGATGAACTATCCCCTCTTCTAGTTAAGAGGACTCTCTTGTTCAAATCGAACCTTTTTCAATTTCTTGCCTCTGCTTAAGCAGTTCTATAGGGGACAGACTTTTCCTCACCTCTGCTTGTCAAAGATCCACCCATTCTTGAGTCCTAGTTCATATACCAGTCCCCCTAATACTGTTTCGTACCAACTACTTTCATACAACTGATAGGATTTGTTACTTGTTTTCAGTATTTCCTCAAAGTAATTGTTGGCTGTTTGCTATCATATCAAGCACGGTTTCAGCTCATGTTGAATGGTTTGAGGAGCATCAAGATTCCTGTTCATGTGAAGCTTATGCTCTGAATGTGCCCAAAGATATAGAAAAACAATAGACTGGTATATTGTATGGTTCAGTAGGAAAGTATAGAATGATGATACCCTTAACCCTGTTTGTTTGGTTTGAGACTGGGGGAACTAAGGACAAGCTTCTTGGTAGAGGTAATACTCAAATTTTGCTCCATAAGAGGATTCAAATAGAAGAGATGGTTTGTATACACATCCCAAAGCCAGAGGAAAGAAAGATTGATGCTTTCAGGGACAGAAATGGAGTTCAGAAAATAGTGTGAGAACAAAGGGTACCAAGCTATGAGCAAGAGAGGTAAGCATGAAACAGATTGTGCAAGGCCGTGTAAACCAGAGTCAGTTGTTTAGACATGATCTAAACATAGTGAGAGCCAATGACAGGTTTTGCCTAGTGAAATAACAGGACTAAATGTGTGTTTTTAAAAGATTTCTCATTAGAAGCAGTGTGGGAAATAGATCGGAGGATTGTTTGTGCTAGAGATGGGGAGACCGACTATGAAGTTTGGTACTCTGAGAGAAGTTGATAGTGGCTTAGACTAGACTTCAGAGGGGTAAAGAGAAGTGGCGGATCTGAGGTACTCTGAGAGCCCCAAATTCACACAATTAGTTGCTTAGTTATAGGGAGAAGGGAGTTCCTAGTTGGTGGACTGTGTAGGAAGGATTAGGAGGTGTGGCCTTGTGAGAGGAGGTGTCTCATTAGGGGTGGGCTTTGAGGTTTCAAAAGCCCATGCCAGGCACAGTCTCACCCCTTCTTTCTTCCTGCAACTTGTGGATCAGATTGTGAGCTCTCAGCTACTGCTCCAGTGCCAAGTCTGGCTGGCTGCTGCCATGCTTCCTGCCATGATGATCATGGACTAACCTTCTGAAACTGCAAGCAAGCCTCCAACTAAATGGTTTTTAAGAGTCGCCTTAGTCATGGTGTCTCTTCATGGCCATGGAACAGCAACTAAGAGAAATTGATAAGCCAGATTTCAGAAGACTGAGAAGTAGAGGGAATGTGCTGGCAGGAGAGGAGGTGATGGGTGGGGCTTAGGAAGTGTTGAGAATGTTTTAAGGCTCATGTTAGAGGGGTGAATAGAAGATTGAGGAAAGTCACTAGAGAAACGTTCGGAAGTCATAGAGTGGTTCCAGGCGCACATACTGGGAAGGGCCCTCTAAAGGGTGCGGGAATGTATCATTTATTGAAATAAGGCAGAAAGAAAGGGCAGGTGCTGGTATAGGTAAGATGGTGAGAGCTGATGGGGAGATGTGCAGGTTGCTATGTGACAATTTCAGATAAGATTATCTTCTCTGAATCAAACAAGGCAGCGAGAGGATTGGTAGGGCACCCTGGGTGGATTGGTGGGGCACCCTGGGTGAGCTGATTTCTCTGAGAGTGTGACATGTCACTGAAACCTCATGGCAACTAAGAATGGCACCGATGGGGTAGAGCACAGAGGCCAAGAGAATAGCTCTGTGTGTGGCCGTCCCATACGAGGCTGGGGAGTGGGGTCGAGGCAGGTGGTACATTGAGTAATCTCTTCCTCCCATTAGGGTCCACTTCATTATCCTCTTAGCTCTCACCACTTATATTATTACCACAAGGACTTGGAGAAGATAAAGACTTTATTCTTTTCTGTTCGTCATTCATCGCTCTGAGAAAAAAAAATTGATTGAGTGAAGGATAAAAATGTTACGTGATAAATACTTGCAGTTAATTCCCAAAGGAAAATAACAAATAATGAATTCCTTAGCTAGTCTGACAGTGTTGCTTGTTAATTTACTGACCTGTGTTTAATCTGGCATCTGTTTAATACTGGATCTCATACCAGGAGTCCTCGGACATTAACAGTTAACAAAGTCTCATTTCTACTAACAAATTAGTGCTATTCAGGGTAATATGGCAAATGAAAAATCTTTGCATAGGCAAGTGTTGTTTTTTTTTTTTTTTTTTAATCACCTCTCTTAATGGTACCCTTGTCCTCTTTCAGCTTCACTGTTTGGGGGATGAAACAAGGGCATCTCTATCAGATCCTGCTTCCTCTCTGCGGAGTCACCCTCTTCATAATGCCTAGGGGAGTGAAGCCAAAGCGAGTTGTGTGATGGAGAGTTTCTAGAAAAATAAAAGGATGTTGTGAACCACAAACAAAAACCACTCTTTTGTCACTGAAATTTTTATATGGATATTCACTGAGTTGTTTTTTTTTCCCAGTAGATATTTTAAGTACTTTTTGGTAAGGTCATTTTTACTAAGTTCTTATGATAGTTAAGTTGAACCTGGTCTGTATTTTCATAGTGTTTCTAGTGCAGGGAGGGAAGCGATCTCCCAGGAGTAGGAGAACAACAAGAGGACCATGCATGCATTACAAAAGAGCATTGTTGTTGTGGGATGAGGCAGAGAAGGTGTATCATTCAGTGATCATTACAGTTTCATTATTCTTATTCCAGAGGTTAACATTACAGCCTGCTTTTAGATCATCTAACTCATAGAACTTAAAAATTACCTCTTTTTCTTTCCTTTAAGGTGACTCATATTCTCAATGTTGCATATGGAGTTGAAAATGCTTTCCTCAGTGAATTTACATATAAGACCATTTCTATATTGGATGTCCCTGAAACCAATATCCTGTCTTATTTTCCAGAATGTTTTGAGTTTATTGAGCAAGCAAAACTGAAGGTGAGTTTTATTTTGATACAGTTCTTCAGGAGTAGAAATTTGAAAATGGGACCACCAACCCAGTCTTTGTACATTTTAATAAATTTGTGAAGAGTCATTATGAAAATTTCCCTCCAGTAATACTAATTAAATCCTTCAGATTTTTGGTTCTCTAATTGTTTTTTTTTTCTTAATGAGAAGTTTACTTTACATATTCATTTAGTTTTGCCTGGCGGTGGTGGCGCACGCCTTTAATCCCAGCACTGGGGAGGCAGAGGCAGGTAGATCTTTGTGAGTTCGAAGCCAGCCTGGTCTACAGAGCGAGATCCAGGATAAGCAGTAAAACTACACAGAGAAACCCTGTTTCTAAAAACAAAAACAAACAAACAAACAAAAAACAAAAAGTAAGGACATATTCATTTAGTTTTGTTTCTTCTGAGTTCTTACCAAGAAACACTGGAAGATAAACTCCCTCAATTACTGAGCTTTCCTGTGCAAATATGTAGTTAAATTCCCTCTGGAACTGTATTAGCACCTACATCCTGACTGATTTGTCAGAAACCAGATGGACCAAAGGGTACAGTCTGCTCTAGTCTTGTCAGTGCATTCGTGATAATGAATATTCATTCGTTTCAATGACTAAGGCACAGAGATTGTGTAGCTGTGCATGTAAAAAAAAATATTTATTATTTATGGAGGCAGGGTCTCGTAGAGCCTAGGCAAAGCCTCAGACTTGCTGTGTAGCCAAGAATGATCCTGAACTTTTGATCTTCCGGCTTCTACCACCTTCATGCTGGATTTACAGGTGTGCATTACCATGTCTGTTTTTAATCTTTACTGGGGATGGAACCTGGGGCCTTGTTCATATCAGGCACGTACTCTACCAGCAGAGCTGGAGCTCTGGCCTCTGTGCATTTTGAACAATAGAATTTTAAGGCAGAATGCATATTGCTGTCCTGAGATTATACATGAAATCCTGATCAGAAACTATCTGCTGGTTTTGTGACTTTAGAGAGCCAACACAAGATATTATTTCAATATTAACTTCGACCTGTGTCAGCATTCTGATAGGGAGGACTTCTAGGATGGCTATTACCTAAAGTAGTATCTTGAAGTTATTTTTGTCAATAAGTAATTCTGTTTTACATTTTAATAATAATCAAGTTTATAGTTTTCTAATTATATAATGGAATGTATATACACTTTTGATAAAGAATAGTATCAGAGAGTTTATAGTAGCAATATCAGATCCCCAGGCAGGATGGTGGGTGCAGCTTATATAATAATCTCTTCCCCCAAGAACTAATCGGGAGTCCCATGGGAACTCTTCGACTAGGAGTACATCCCTTCCAGGAGTACATCCCTGAGTCCTGCCATCTCCTAATCTTACAACATGAGCCCAAGCTTCAAAACCATGAGCCTCGAGGGGACATGCTCAAAACGTATTCAAAGCCCAGCACCATGTCTGATCAGCCGTGAGTGCTACCTAAGTGACCTGTGCTGCTGGAAGCTTGCTATGAGACCTCAGCATCATAAGGAAGTTACACCAGAATCTCACTTCACTGATTGTCAGAGGCTGACTACCAAAAAAAAATGGAAGTATTTCATTATTCGATTTGATTTGATTTTTAATATATTTAATTTTTTTCTTTAAGAATTTTACACATGGATACAATGTATTTTAATCATATACCAATCCCCTTCCACTCTTTCCCTCCAACTCCTCCAAGATCCTCCCACATCCCCCTCTCAGTTAGTTTAATTAATGCTGCCCATATACACGTAGACATGGACCACCCACTGGAGCATGGTCAACCTACCAGAGACCACACCTAGAAAGAAAACTGACTCCTCCCTACCCTAGCACCTGTTGACTGTCAGTAGCTCCTCAAGTAGGGTTAAGACTTCATGAGTCACTCCCCACTCCATGTTGGAATGTTGTGGGACATAGCCATTAAGAGTACTTGTTCCTGCAGATGGCCCAGATTAGTTTCCTAGCACCCACATGGCAGCTCATAACCATCTGTCATTCCAGTTCCAGGGAATCTGTTTCTATTGCTGTGACAAAACACCACGACCTTCCCCCCCCCCCAAAAAAAAAAGCAAGTTGGGGAGAAGGGTTTATTTGGCTTACACTTCCATATCTGTTCATCATCAAAGGAAGTCAGGACAGCAACTCAAACAGGGTAGGAATATAGAGGCAGGAGCTGATGCATAGGCCATGGAGGGGTGCTGCTTACTGGCTTGCTCATCATGTCTTGCTCAGCTGCTTCTTATAGGATCCAGGACCACCCACAATGGGCTGGGCTTCCCCCATCAATCATTAATTAAGAAAATGACTTACAGCCAGATCTTAGGGAGGTCTTTTCTCAATTGAGGTTCCCTCCTTTCAGATAACTCCAGCTTGTATCAAGTTGACATAAGACCAACCAACACAGAATCTAACACCTTCTTTTGCCCTCCAAGGGCACCCCATAGACAGGGTACACATACATACACATAAAGTAAGTAAATCTATAAAAAAAGAAAAGTAGTTATATACAATAGTGAAAGAAAATATTAACATTGTAAATCAGGTAAAACTGAGATCTGGAGATTTGTTTTGAACTAAGTAATATATATTAATAATTTTCAAGCTGTTATAAAATTTTTAAACATTTTAAGTCATAAAAATTTAACTGTTGGGTGGTGAGTCATGTCTCTAATTCCAAAACTTAGAGACAGAGGCAGATGGCTCTCTGTGAGTTCGAGGCCAGCCTGGTCTACAGAGCAAGTTCAAGGACAGTCAAGGCTACACAGAGAAACCCTGTCTCTAAAAACAAAACAAAACAAGCTTTTGGTACAAAGTGGGAAAAAAATAGGTTGAGGCAGGAAGTCTGAAAAGTACCAGGTGAGTTTAGAACCATCCTGGGTTACTTAATGAGAACCTGTCTTAAAATTAAAAGTTAAAAAAAAAAAAAAAGACTGGGGATAGAGTGCTTCCCTAATGTGTGTAGAGCTATAGAGATTTAATTATTAGTACTGCAAAATGCAGAGGAAATCCCTCAAAGAACAAAATGAGAGGGGCTGGAGAGATGGCCCAGCATTTAAGAGCACTTATTCCTAGAGGACAAAAATTTGTTCCCAGTACCCAGGCAGCTCACATCTGTAACTCTAGCTCCAGGAGAGCTGGCATCCATGGGTACTCTACCCACATGTGCATAGACTCACACATGCATCCCTCCCCATATATATAATTTTTAAAAATAATTTTTTAGAGTAGGAAAAGTTCATGATGTATAGATGTATATAGTGAATATTATTATTATTATTATTATTTTTTTTTTTTGATTTTTCGAGACAGGGTTTCTCTGTGTAGCTTTGCGCCTTTCCTGGAACTCACTTGGTAGCCCAGGCTGGCCTCGAACTCACAGAGATTTGCCTGCCTCTGCCTCCCGAGTGCTGGGATTAAAGACGTGCGCCACCACCGCCCGACTATAGTGAATATTATTTTACTTTTCTTGTGCAGAAACAAAGCTCAAAAATGAATCATAGACATCTGTAAGAAAACATTTGAAGCAGACTTGTTGATGTGAGAAATTTCAAAATATAAAAGTTGTTGCTAATCACTCTTGAAAAGAGATACACTTGCAGATTGGATACAGTGGCTCAAGAAAGTAACTTTATCACAGATACACAGATGTGAGGAAGCTGCCTTGCCAACCTAAAATAGTCCAATGGCCCATAACAACAGTAGTGTAATGTGTGTGCCTGGGGGCTAGGGTTTCTAGTAATATGGTCCCCTCCTGTCCCTTTCCTGTGTTGTACCCGATGAAGATCAAAAAATGAAGTTACTGAAATGTTTAATTCTGTGGTGTGTGCGCCATTCACTGCAGATCATTAACTTTTTAAAAGCCTGCAATAGGCCAAGCTGTATCACTGTTGATCTCTTGGATCTATGGCATCCATTATTAATGCAATTTTGCCCAAACCAGCATCCATCCTGCATTGTGTCCATTTCACTGGTAAAGTATCATTTACGAGTTACCTGAGAAGTTTTTCACTTATTGACCTCACTGCTGGTATATAATTACCTCTTCCATTTCATGATGTTGTAAGTTGTTCATGCCATCATTTACTCACTGGTCAGTTAAGAATATTTGTAATTTACTTCCTTACAGAATAATAGTCCCAACAGCATCATTTGTTTCCTTGCCAGTGATTTTGTACTTAGTATTCCAAGCCAGGGACACCAGTTGTTTATATACATGTGCTGGTAAGTTGCTAGGTTTTTCTGTGTACTTGGCTGGATCATTTGAGTTCTGTTAAAGATGCCGTTTGCCAACTCCAACCACATTATCAGAGCATTTCAGTCCTGGGAAAGAGCAGGTGTTGGATGATTGAGTCTCCTCAGTTTATGTGGTGAAATTTATTCTGTGAAATAAATAGACAGGATGAATTTTTTTCTTTATAGTTTTGAGTCTGCTAAGAATGTATAATTGATTTAATAACCTTTCTCGGGAGAGTAACGTGGATTTTGTTTGATGTCATTTCAGGATGGCGTGGTTCTTGTTCACTGTAACGCAGGGGTTTCCAGGGCTGCTGCGATTGTCATAGGCTTCCTGATGAGTTCTGAAGAAATCGAATTCACCAGTGCTTTCTCGTTGGTGAAAGATGCAAGGCCATCCATATGTCCAAATCCCGGCTTCATAGAACAGCTTCGCACCTTCCAAGTGGGCAAAGCGAGCAATGGAGGTGACCACGTGCTCTCAGTGGACAGGGGCCATGGTCCGTGATCTGTCTCTAGCAGGGACAGACAAGCAACTTCTGTATCTGCCTCTGTTTTGGAGAGGAAACTTGTAAAACTTCTCTTTCCTGTTGTCTTTTACCAGTGGAAATGGGGGTTACTTTTATTGCCCTGAATTAATATATTAATACAATTTTTAGTTTTACCTTCTCTTTGTTATTGCATTATCTGGTTAAGCATGTCTTTAACTTCCTAAGAGAAAATAGTGGATTATCAAATTGCTAAATCACTGATATGTGTAGGAGAAATTTTAAGATAGAAAAGTAAACCAATGAAGCCTTTTAATTTATTCTTCTCTCATGTATACCTTCATGAACAAAAACCTTTTGAAGTGATAGACCTACAAATGAAGATTTACCATTTCAAAAGGAAGTAAAGTTTTTGTAAGAATATTTTTAAAGTTAAAAAATAATACCTTCAGCCTTCCACAAAGAGTACCAGAATCAAAGACTTATATAAACATCTATCTAATGGTTATAAATGCATGTGATTTTTAAATCCTTTTATGAAAATCAAATTTTTATTTTGACTTTTAAATTGGTCCTATTACAAGCATTTTTCTTATATTCTTTAAGTGATTGCATAGATGTTCTATGCTTTAATTTTGTTTTATTTTAATTAGCTGTTGCCACACTTTGCTCTTTTTAACTTGGGTGCTAAGTGTTCTGTTTATGGGTTACCTGTCACTTTTTTTTTTGTCTCTTAGGATCGCTAAAAACTGCCTTATAGTGAGAGATGATTTTTTAAAGATGTAATCTTAAGATTGATCTCTTTTATATTTCAGTATTCTGCAGGAAAATGTATTTTTTAGAGAAGAAAATTTAATGAATCTAAAAAATTTTAAGTATTGTTAGGAGCTTAACATTACACATATTTTTTCCTGGAAGAACACTTTGAACAGTTTTTTTTCTTTAATGCTTCCATGTTGACAAAACTGAATGATGTATATTATATATAAATTTGTTTTATGGCTTTGAGTTGGGGCAGGGGATTGCAGATCAAGCAGTAGAGTCCATGCTCAGTTTGCAAAAAGGCCCTGACTTCCATCACCAGCAACACACACACAAATAAAAATCTTTAAAATTTAATGTAAATACATACTGTAAATTTTAACTTTGTCTAGTTATGAGAGAATTCTTTCATGCCTTTTGAATGACATTTGTGATAGGTTCTAAAACATAAGTAGGAGTTGAATGAGGGTGAGTGGGTTGTGGCATGTTTTTTTCAGGATTGAGTCAGGAATATATGTAAAAGCCAAAGTCTGAGGAGGAGCATGAAACGTTGGAGTAATGGAGGGAAGTGCTGAGATGTGGGAGCGCCGAGGTGGAGGGCATGAGATGCTGTCCCTGAATGTGAACTGTGGGCCAGATCAAGTGAGACCTGGTAGAGAGCTTTGAGATGTTAGTCTTTCAGAGTAGTGAAGAGGTTAAGAGGTGGTAATGAGATTTGCTTAGAATGCTTTGTTTTATTTTCATTTTTATTTTATGTGTATAGGTATTTTGCCTGCATGTGTGTCTGTGTACCATGTGCATGCAGTGTCCATGGAGGCCGGAGGAGGGCACTGGATCCCATAGGACTGGAATTTCAGGCAACTGAGCTGCCCCATGGGGGTGTTGAGAATTGAACCCAGGTCCTCTGCAAGAGCAGCCAGGGCTTTTAACCACTGAACCATTTCTCCAGCCTCAAGAATGATCGTTCATTTATTTGAGATAGGGTCTCATATTTAGCAGGTGGCCTCCAACTTGCTATCGAACTGAGGATGGCCTCTAACTTCTGGTCCCCTTTCCATCAGCTCCCGAGTGCTGCAGTGACAAGCCGCCGGCCACCAAAGCTGGTTTCTGTGGTTGGTGCTGGTCTTCGTACATGCAAAGCAGGCACTCCAACAACGGAGCTAGATCCCTAAACTTCACAATGTTGTTTTATTTTTTTATTTTATTTTATTTATTTATTTATTTATTTATTTATTTATTTATTTATTTATTTATTTATTTATTTATTTATTTTTGGTTTTTTCGAGACAGGGTTTCTCTGTGTAGCTTTGCGTCTTTCCTAGAACTCACTTGGTAGCCCAGGCTGGCCTCGAACTCACAGAGATCCTCCTGCCTCTGCCTCCCGAGTGCTGGGATTAAAGGCGTGCGCCACCACCGCCCGGCTCACAATGTTGTTTTAAAGCGTCAGTCTGATTGTATAGCATAGACAAGTGAGTTGGGAGGAAAAGCAAGGCAAGTCAGAAGGTTAGGTCCAGGTTTCAGGTGGCAAAACTAGGTTTAGCTGATGCAGTAAAAAGGGAAAGAAGTGGAAGCTAGAGAGATGGCTCAGTGGTTAAGAGCACCTACTGTTGTGTCTGAGGTCCAGAGTTCAGTTCCCAGCACAAACATCAGGTAACTCACAAGAGTCTGTAACTGCAGCTCCAGCTCCAGGATGTATGATACCTTTGGCTGCTGCAGATGTCTGCACCCACATGCAAACACGTATACCTACACGTAATTAAAATAATAAAATGAATCTTATAAAAAGGAAACAGGTGGGTACTTTTTGAAAAATATTTAGAGACTAGGTCTTATAAACTTTGGCATTGAATTTTATTGAAAAGAGGAGTTTTCAAAAAAAGAAAAGAAGTTATCAAAATCATCCCAAGGTTTCCAGCTTTAATAATTAGAGAGCTGGTGATGCCATTCTTTGGAATAAATATTCACTCTTAAGCTGGCCTTTTATATTTGGTTTGAGGTGTCCTTGAGATATCCAAGTTAATGGGTGTGTCAAGAGGGGAACTTGATGGGGCATCTGGTTATTGGTATGAATTTGCAGGAGAAAGGGATAGCACCACACGAAGAGCTTAGAGTAAAACTAAGGGTGTAAAACTGGGTTTTAGAGAACAACCCCATATAAAGGCTGGGTGGAGGGTGAGCCAAGAAAGGAGATAGGGCTAGAGAGAGAAGAGAGCAACCAGAGCACACTGTCAAAGGAACTAAGGAAAGCTTCAAAGTGCATGCTAAATAAGATGCAGCAAATGATGCTGAGAAAATACATACAATAAACATGTACCAAAGGCATCTGGGCTTCGCATCATGGAGGTTATTGTTACCCTTGGCAAGATCAGTTTGGTAGACTAAGTGATGGGAGAATCCAGATTCGTTTATTAAATGCTATGTGATATGCCAAATTACTGATAAGGCAATAACATGTATCTGCCTTGGGGTGAATAAGCCAGTGTATAACATACAAGGCTGATGCTAAACTTTCTACAATTCAGATGAATCAACTAACTTCTAGAGTTACCAGTGCCCCATAATTATTAAGTATTCAAAGTCAAGAGCATTGCACAGTCCTCAACAAAATACTTGTTCATTAAAAAAAAATAATCATCAGGCAAAGAATAATTGCTTCATTGATTTTTCACTAATAGTTTTTACATAAGTGGAGACCAAAATGTATGACTTTTGAATATCTTAGTATTTGGGCTTGTTTATCTTTGTTTGTTTGTTTGGTTGGTTGGTTGGTTGCTTGGTTTTTTGAGACAAGGTTTCTCTGTGTAGCATCCTTGGCTGTCCTGGAACTTGCTGTGTAGACTAGGCTGGCCTCGAACTCATACATACCCATCTGCCTGCCTCCGCCTCCCAAGTGCTGAGATGAAAGGGACCGCTGCCCAGCTAGGCTTGTTTCTCTCTCTCTCTCTCTCTCTCTCTCTCTCTCTCTCTCTCTCTCTCAAAGATTGATTTATTTATTATGTACAGTGTTCTGTCTGCATGTGCGCCTGCAGGCCAGAAGAGATCGCCATATCTCATTACAGATGGTTGTGAGCCACTATGTGGTTGCTGGGAATTGAACTCAGGACCTCTAGAAGAGCAGCCAGTGCTTCTAACCTCTGAGCCATCTCTCCAGCCCCTAGGATTGTTTCTTTAAAAAAAAAAATGATGTAGAGAAAATCTCAAACAGAGTTATAGAAAACAGCATGCTTCTTACCAGCAGTTTTGTTTACTGCCAGCTCTCTCAACTACCCCCTGAACACGTCATCCCAAGGTAAATTCCAGACATCATTCTTTCAGGAATCGAGACCAGCCCCCATCCCCGGAAGTTGTCTCTTCTGACAGCTATGACTTCCCTGAACCTTTATAATATCTGATTAAACCTAACTGGTATTTGAACACAGGACCGGGGAAACAGATTTTCACATGAAAGTTACTTAAGTTTGGAAATTACTGGATACATTTAGTTGGTTAAAAAACGAACAGGCAAATCGGCCTAGTTCATGTTTCATTTGATGTCTGGCTGTGCTCTCTCTGTCAGCTGTTCCCTGTAATGAGTTCATCAGCAAACCCTCATGTTTCTGTGTATTATTATTTAAAGACATTTAGAGATACAGCTGCTGTTATTGTTTATAGGGCTCAAAAAACGCAGTACCAACTGTAGGTGTGTATTTTTGTTGAGAGGATACACTTTAAATCATGAAGCTGTTTTGGAGATCATTTGACCTGGCCTGCTGTGAAGTCATGTGGATGCTTTATGTGATGTCACAGTCTAAGTGAATGACAGCCCGGGATATATCAGGTGCCAAAAGGCAGAGATGATAACACCGGCATGATGTTTCCTCCCTTGACTCTCTGTCTGAAGAAGACAAATTCCATCTGTTTTCCAAAGTCTTATGAAAGGTGGGTATCTTTTCTCTTCACTTTCATTTTTAATTTAAAAGTTATTTTTAATTCTATGTATGTGTATGTCTCTGTGTGGGTTAGTGTGTGTGACTGCAAGTGCCTCTGGCCTCTGATTCCCCTGGAGCTGGAGTTATAGGTGGCTATGAGCTGGGTGTGGTATGGGTGCTGGGAATTGAACTCTGGTCCTTTGGAAGAGCAGTACATGTTCTTAACCACTAAGCCATCACTCTAGCCCCTCCTTGAGTTTTAAAAACTACATTTTTACAGAATAGACAAAGTTATCTTAAGAGCACGAGATCGATTTTATATTTGTATATAACTGTTAATAGCAATTTAATTAAATCGATGAATTATTAGTATATATGATAGATACACAAAAGTTTGACTGTGGCTGTGTCCGTTCATTAAAGGTAAATAAATTCTGAGGTATATTTCTGAATTTTCACAATTTGCTTTAGTTTAGAAGGAAATTCAAACTTATCCAGCCTTGAATTAATTTCAGGTTGAATTCTTCATAGATCAAATTTCTGACCTGTGTTTCCTGTACTGTTAAGTGACAGGCAAGTGGGCCAGAGCCTTGGATTGGTCTAGCTTGAACTTTTTCTATATTTTTCCATAGCTAGATCAGGATTC